TTCGAGGCCCACATCCTGCTCTGTGCTGACAGCTCAGAGCCTGGAGCCTGCTTTGGATTCTGTCTCCCTCTCTCTCTGCCCCTCCCCTGCTTGCAGTCAGCCTTTCCCTCTCTCTCAAAAATAAACAAACATTAAAAAAAAAAAAAAAGTATTCCTGTCTAAGAGGAGGAGAAGCCAATGTCTCATACTCACCCTCTTCTTCAGGGAATAATCTATGTAGGTGTGCTCTAGACATGGGGTCATTCCTAATGGGGCCTGTCCTTTGGGGCCATCCCTGAAGCTGAGTTTGTGTGGTCCATGGGAAGCTGTCAAAGGCTCCCTCGTATAGAAATGGCCCGAGTGACTTACACTGGGTCTCACCCTCTCTACCTCAAGTTCCGTCTTCTGACCTGAGAAGACAGGCATTACGGAGAAATTTTAGATACACCGGAGCTCAGAGGGAGAATTACAGACGCTGGCTTTGTATACAAAACAGCTTTATTAAAAATTCAGCAATCTGGAAAACAAAGCCTTCACAAGGGTTCTATCAAAAAGTACAAATTTTAAATAAATGAGTCAGAAAAGTGGCAGCCAGATACACCAGCCAGTTACAACCGTGGGAGAAGGGAGGAGGTGCCCAGAGCCCCCTTCCCCGCAAAAGGGTGGGCACCCAGGTCTTTGGACTTGCGCAGGGCCAGGCCAGTGCCCTGAGTTTTCCTTTCCTTGGAAAAAATGGAAAGAACCTGGAAAGTGTAGGAAATTGAGTCTGAAGCAGAAAGGCACAAAAGTCATTTAAAAGGCACGACTGCTAACTCCAGCCCTGAGGAGCATCAAGTGGGTGAATGGGTGATCAGAGCCACAGGCCCCTGGCTCTGGTCATTCTCCTGACTGGTGTCACCTCTAGGTTTGGCCACAGGTTAAGGTGGACCAAATGGACGGCACAATTTCTGCAGCCCTGGGGGCCTGGAGCTCGTCTTTGGAAGAGATCTGTTACTCACTGGCAAGCTGGCATCCAGCCGTGCCAGGGCAAGCAGGGTCGTGTGGCCCTTAAGAAATTCCCTCAGTGGGGAGCAACAGGCATCTTGTCCAACCCCGTCCTCTGAGCCACAGCGGGCACCCGCCCTGGACAAGGAACTCCTGATGCCAGTCCTTGCCATCTAGGCATCTGGAAAGGCCCAAAGCCTCTGGAGCTAGGGTTTTCTGAATGGCAGGCAGCTGACATTATCAAAACCAGTCCCCAACAGCTGCTGGCCTATACCATAGTCATTGATGACAGGCTTCCCTGGTGACATTAGGCAGTGGGTAGGCAAAGAGGGAGAAGTCTAGGATATACTTAGGAAGCACGTCCTGCAGGAGAGCCCGTGGGGCACTGCACAGGTGGTAATGCAGGCTTTCAGGACTGGCAGGCCGGTACCAGGCCTGGCGAGCCGGGAATCGGACATGGGGTGGCGCCCGCACCCACTCCAGCACCTGGTTTGCATCAGCCTCCAGCCTCTCATAGGAGCCTACAAAGTCGTAGTGCACCGCGCAAGGCTGGCACAAGTGGTACACGGGCATCCAGTGCTCATTCATCCGCTCAGGGTCCTCGTCCACCAGGTATCTCAGGAACTCAGGGAAGGTGACATCGTCCCCTGCAGGGCTGGGCCCCGCGCCCGCTCTGTACCGCCTCACGATCTCGGCCCCATAGCGCTGCTGGTACTCTCGGATTTCGCCAAACTTGTTACGGTAGGCAGAGAGAAGGCGTTCCAAGGGGTCCCGCACAAACAGAAACTTGAAGTAGTGCTGTAGGCGGTAGCGAATTTCCTCGGGCCGCAGGTCGGCCAAGAACACCAGGTCGTTGCGGTGGTCCATCTTGAGGCGGACGTCCACGCTGTCCAGGACGCCTGCCAGTACCTTCAGCACCCGCTTCCAGTTAGAGCAGGCCACCTTGGGGACGTAGCAGTAGAGGAAGCGGTAGCGGTCACTCACAAGGATGTGGCGCAGTAGGGTGCGCCGCTGCCCCACTGGCAAGTCCCAAGGGTCCCGGGGCATGCCTGGCTGTCCGCACACCGCCCGCAAAGTGCGGTTCCGGACGTCCTGCCTCACCTGCAAGTCCGAGTCCCCGGCCTCCAGGGACAGCCCCGCGGGCCTGGAGAGGGCCGGGCGCCAGGCCGCGCCCTCGCGATTGGGGGGGTGCAGGGGAAGGGGCTTCATTTCGGCCAGGATGCCCCGCTCGATCATGAGCAGCAGCCCGCTGGAGGCCACGATCACCGCGAACATCAGCATGGACGGCAGCAGCAGGGGCGGCCCCCCAAGCCCGGCCCGAGCCCTGCCCAGTGGGGCCCGCCTCAGCGCCCGGCCCAGGGGCTCGGCGCCATTTGGGGCCGCCAGCGGGGTCAGCGGGCGGGGGAACATGGTGCTCCCGGGGTGGGGGCCTGCGCCGGCCCGGCCGACCCGAGGGCTGCCTGGGAGGCGGGCTCGGGCTGGGGGCGGGAGCCGAGGGCTTGGGCCCGCAGCGCAGGGAGGGCCCGGAGGAAGGGGGGGCGCCCGCGGGAGGCCCCGGCGCGCGCGAGGGGTGGCCGGCTCCCGGGCTGCGGCGCGGGAGCGGGCAGCAAGCAGCGGGCGGGCGCGGCGAGGGACCGTGGCCGGATGTCCCGCCCGGCAGCTCCCCGCCCCCGGCCCCGCCGTGACACAGGCGCGGGGGCGGGTCCAGGGCGGGGGCGGGGAGAGAGGAGGGCGCCCCTGCACAGAGCGGGCCGGGAGGGCGCGTGCAGACCCCCACCCGGGAGAGGGCGCCGGAGCCAGGGCAGCCCTGGCGCTCCCTGCTTCGGAGACAAAAGCTGCTGACGCCCAAAAGACAGAAGAGACCCAGGCCAGGGCTCCCTCTCGCGTAGCGCGTGTCCTCGGGGAGCTGCACGGAGCGGACCGGCACCCAGTGCCCTGCCGCACACTCTGGCCTGGCGGAGACCTTCCTCCAACAGCGTGTCTGGAGGCAGAGGGCACCCGCGGCGCTTTGCGCGAGTCCAAACTTTCGAGAAATCCTTTCCCGCTGGAAGCGGAGTCCCAGTGTGTTCTTCCTACCCACCCTGCCCCAGCTACTCCAGTAAATAGGAGCAAGAATGTCAGGCACTGACCAGTGGCTCATCTCCATGGTGACCATTAGCTTTAACAGTACCTGGTGGATTACAGTGTTGATCATCCACTAGGTAATGCTGAAATGTCTGGAAATGGGAGTCTTCTCCCCTCTGGTCTGCCCCTCCCCAGACCAGAAGAAATGGGATAACGGGGACAATCTCTGGTGAGGAACCAATGACCAGTTTGTGCCTGGTGATCATTAGTGAGATCAGACACATTTTGAAAGGCGAGGACCTGGGGGCACAAAGCAGCAGCCTTCCTACCTGGAGCCAGACATGCTTCAGTAGCACCAGGCGGACCATGTGGGCTAGAGGCAGCTATGGGAAGGCCTAGGATGGCAGGGGCTGGTCTTTACCCACCAGAACTGGGCACCTGGCTAAGGGCCCAGACCTCATCCTGTTATGTATGTGTGGGGAGCCAGTGAAGCCCCAAAGGGGGCTAGTGATGTGATCAGAGTCTACATTTACCAAGGCAGGTGCCTGCTCAGCGTTCGGTACGCTGTTTTCCAGTTGTCACAGTGGCCCCCCACAGCTGAGGAAATAGGCTTAGGGAAGCTGAGAATCTGTATGCATCAGTCTGATTCTAAAACCTATCCTCCTAATCGAGATTAATGGACCACTAAAATGGAATGGTTCGGAGGAAGCAGCTGACCCTAGGTCACAGTACTGGAGGGGCGAACAGAACAGGACTAGAAGATGCCCAAGGCTTTGAGTTTAGTGGGAGAACAGAGGTACCAATGATCAGATGAATTCATAAGCATGAGGGCTCCTGGAGGATGAGACGAAGCTAGAGAGCTCATGGAAGGCCCTCAATCCCTAGCAACGTGGGATGAGGGGGAGGAATGGGAAGTGTGTTGGCTTTCCAGATTCTCAGAGCAGGCTCCTGCCCATCTCACTGCCTGGGCGCTGGGTGCATCTCAGGATGCACCCCCGGCTGATGTGTAAGTTTGTATCAAGTTCAGTGTTCACTGAACTCCTTGCTTCCAATGGCAATGAGTGTAGATTTCTGGTGTTGCGATTATTTTCTACCGTTTTTTTTGTTTTGTTTTGTTTTTCACGATAGATGTCTTACACTAGAGGAAGGAAAAAATGACTTTGAAAAAGTTTTGATAATGTGGCCACGTGTGCTCATTCCTCTGAGGACTCTTCTATGTTCGCAGTCACAGCAAAGCAGTCTGAGTACAGGAACAGCCACTTACTCTGAGGGAGTCTGGGGCAAGGTACTTGTCTCCACAGCAGTTTCCTATGTGTTATATGATGGGACACTGCTCACCTCATGGGACTCTTGTGAGAGCACACTGCAGAAGTGTCTGTGCCACTAATACCCTCTATCAAAATGCACCTGGCCCAGATGTCTTTACGAAAATGGAGACTGGGGCAGCTGTGCTCTGTCTCCTAGGAACCCCCATGGTCACAGAGCTTGCCCCACGCTAAGCATGGTCAACACTAAGGCTTTGGGCTGGGGTGAACCAAGTTCCAGGCAGTCACAAGCCCTTGGCCTATGATGTGACCTTCATTCCCTCTGCAAGGAGTGCCAGTTGCTAGATATTGAGGCCCCAGGGCAGTTCCTGATGGCCAGTTCCTCAGGCACATGACCCAGGGCGATGAGGTGGTTATCTTCATCACGTACCAGTTCCCAGACCACTGGCCAGGTGAAGGCTGCCGATCCAAGGACTTCACACTGTCCGGTTGGTAGCTCTGGCCACCATGATGCCAAGAGGTCAATCCCAAGTTTTCATTGCTTCTGTCTCCTTTCCACTGTCTGCTTTCCCTCTACTTTCCTGCCCGTTTTGTTTACTGGCCTTAGTTAGCCCCTGCACTGCAAGGGTTAAGAGGGGGCCCCCAACATAAGTAGTGAGCCCCTCTACATGCAGCCCCCCCCAAAGATGACAGCACACACAGGAAACAATCCTTTTCTAAATCAATACAATTTTTCAAATTTATTTTTTTCTTAAAGAAGTACTTCTAATCTCTGTCAAAAGGGAGGTGAGGAAAGGTCCTCCCTCCCTTGTAAACACTGAAATACAGATCTGAGAAAACAGGGTCGACACACACAAAAAGTGCATTTTACAAAATATCAACTAAAATATATTTTACATGAATTATGCTTCCATTGAAATTCTACCAGCTGCATTTTCAGGTTCGAAAAAATATTTCGACATCTAAGAGATTTCAAAAGCATTTAAGTTCTGGGCAGCAGACCCTGCCTTCTGGGCGGAGCGGCCTTGACCTTCTTTCCTGCTGGGTGAAGCTGAGCTCTTCCTCTGAAGGGCCAAGCACCCTGGGAATGAGCAGACTCCAAGCCTGGCTCTCCAGGGGCACCACGGCTACTCTGCCAACCTCTTTTACTGCCCCACACCTTCCTCCAAACAGCTTATTCAGTACAAGGGCACCCTAGCCCTTTCCCTTCGGGTTTGAGATTGGGCTCTCTGTATGCAAATTCACCTCTGAAGCCTCCAGGCCTCCCCTAAACCCAGTGACCAAACAGGAGCAGCCTACACACAAGGCTAGGAGTGCCTGCGGGATGTGCTTCCACTTCCCTCTCCAGACCCAGCCTGACTATCCTCACCAGTGCCACCTCCTTAGATGCCAGGTCTGTGCCTGCCGCTTCCTAGGGGAGAAGAGGGAGTGCTGTCCTCCTTGGCTCCTACCCCCGGGGGGTATGCCCTAAGTGCTCACAAGCAGGGCGCAAGTCACACTGTGCTCCTCCCCGCTTCCCCACCATGCTCCTCTTTGGTACAAATAGGAAAGAAACAGGCTGCTTCCACCCCCACAGAGAGCCCCAGGGCCCCCTCACAGAGAGCCCCAGGGCCAGGGCCTAGTCTGGACGAGGACTGAGGGGGCTAGAGGGCTAGAGACGAGAGGGGGCTCAGCCTCCTAATCTACTCTGGGGAGCAGCATGAGGTGAGAACAGGGCCCCTGGGCAGGAACAAACTGAAAATGCAAGTCCTTAGCTCCTAGAGTGAGTGGCTGCAGCTCAGCAGGTCTGTGGACTGATACAGTGTTGATTCTCGCAGGGATGTAAATTAGTGCAATCTACAAAAGACTAGGGTAAGGGGTGGCGGGCAAGGGGAGCCACAGCACTCCTTTGGTTTGATTTCAGGTGGGTGTGGCTTGAAGAGTCATGTATGAAGTTCTGCAAGAGGTTTCCTAGAACCTCCAAGTGTAAGGCAAGAGGAAAAATCTTCAATAAATCAGGTAGCAATTTTCCTTGCCCCCTGCCCCCCACCCCCTCCCAGCTCCCTTCTGCCCTCCCAGACATGACAAACTTCATGTTGACCAGTTAGGTTCTGGGAAGCCAGACCTGCTGGGTGCCCCTCACCAGGAGGCAGACAGGAAGCTGACTCCCACAAGTGGGCCACACCCATGACTATGTGCACTGGGTACTTGTCCCAGCACCAGGGGCTACTGCAGGGGCAAAGGAGGAAGCCAGGGAAAGGCCCCGAGTCTACAAAAAGAAAGTCCATGTTCTGGAAGCCAGACTCTGGCTCTCTATGCCTCAAAGGAAGGAACTTGGGAGCTGTGCTAAAATCTGGGAGAGCCTGGTCCCAGGCTGATGGGGAAGCAGCGGGTCACAGTGGGTGAGGTAAAGCTGGCTCCCACTCCCCCTTGAGGGGCCCAGGGGATGCTAAAGAAGAGCCTATTGGGCCTTGTTCCTGAAAAGACTCTCCCCTCCGCCCCAGGGCCCCATGCCCCTCAGGCTTGGCCCAGCCTTAGGGAAGACTGTTTCTTCAAGTCTCCACCCAGGCAACCATAGAGAGGTGCCCTGGGCCAAGCTGAGGGCTGTGATGCTTTCTCTATACCCTGGCCTCCCCTTCCCCCCCAAGGGCCCAGTACCCACAGGGTTCCCTGCCTTCCCCCCCCCTCCCCCCAAGAGAACCACAGGCCATCAACCTCAGGCCCCTGTGGCCCCTTAACCAAGTGCTGTGCTTCAAGCAGTACCCCCTGCCCCAAACCCCACTTGCCCGTGGGCAGCCTCAGTGTGGGCCTGAGGAGGCTACTGAGGGTTCTTGAGGATGCGGCCATGGCGGAAGTCATAGACATGGCGGCAAAGAAACACCAGCTCAGGGTCCGTGTCCTCGGGCACTGTGCGGTGTGGCGGGGTGGAGTAGTCTGCAGAGGGGGGCACCAGTGCTGTCTTTCGGCTGGGGAGGCCCTCGCCTCGGCGCTTGGCCATGGCACAGAATCTGCAGTGACACACCAGTTGCTGTCTTTACCATAGCCACCTTTGCAGGAAGCCCAATTCCTTGCCCACCCTGCCCAGAGAGCTGGGGCAGCGCCTCCCACCCCCACAAGGGCTGGTGCTGCCTCCATCCCTGTCCTGCGGGCTGTGCCCTCTCTGACAACTGCCAGTCCGTCTTCCCTGTCACTGGGGCAGCACATCTGCTGGGGCCTCCTTCCCAACACCTGCCAATTCTCCTCGGTGGTTCTCTGAGAACGGTACTTAACCATCCTCAACTCTGTCCCAACCACTCTTAGACAAAGAACAATTTTTCTTTCTTCTACAAACATCAGACAGTGGAAGGCAGCTGTGAGGAAGAACATTCTGGGAGGTCAGGCCCAGCGAATGAGATCCCCTTGGGAATCTCAAATAGCCCCTGAAACAGCCCTGGGGAGTCTGAGGGGAGAGGCTAGCCAGAGGCACAGGGCACCACCCACCTGCAGTACTCAGCAAAGGTCAGCACGTAGCACTTCTCCTCGATGCAGGCCACACTGTTCTGGTCCTGATGTCTCGATGCAAAGACTTCATTCTGCAAAGGCTCAAGGAGAGAGAGGAGGCTGCTGGTACCAGGGTTGGAAGCACCCACCTCCAAAAGCACCGTGGACATTAACTCTGCTACTGGGACTCGTGACCTGAGGTAACTCTGGCTCGTGCCCAGAAAGCCAGGGAGCGTTGCTGGAATTCTGGCCTAACTGCTCCTCACCTAGCGCCCACCCCAAGGCACTCCTCTGGTCCCTCCCCTGGTCCCTCCTACTCAAGAATACCCAGGGGCCTGTTCCAGCACCACCTCCCACCCCATGTCATCAGCCTCCTGACCCCCAACTCAAGGGAAGAGAGGGGAACTGGTGCCCATCTCTCCATGAGATTAAAAGTCCCAGCAAGAGAAACAAAGTGAAAGGGAGCCCAGACTGAGGGCGGAGTGACCACACCGATGGCACTACCTCTCCTGGCACACAGCTGGGTAAAGTGCCCAGGGCTGTCTGGGGTCTCTTCTCTCCTCCCTCTCAAGCCTCCCTCTCACGCCACAGACGGTATCAGAGGGGGCTAGGTGTGCAGCGCCACCTCCCCTTCCTGCTGCCGAGAGGGCACATCCACTTGCTCCCATTCTGGCACTCCCTTGGGGGCTCCCTTCCTGTTCCCCTTTTAAGACAAAAGTTACTATTCTCTTTAAAACATGAATTGGGTTACTGTTGGGAAAAGATGGCGTCCAAGGTGACGATCCCTCGACGGCCCACGGCTGCCACCCCAACCATGTTGTTGGTGCCGCAGTTTCTCCCTCTGTCACTCCTACTCTCCCCAACACACATGCCAGGCGGCTCACCTCGTGCATGCTGGGACTGCGGCCTCCCTGTAAGTGCTCGGGTCTGTAATACCACAAGAGGCTCATCATCAGCTCTCCTAGGGGGACAAGAGAGGCAGTCATAACTTGAGCAGGCAACCCCGGAGTTACTTAAACAGGTGGGCAGGCTGGTGACCTGCCCTGGAGTCGCATCCAACATTAATGCCTGGGCTCCGGCCCAGTCCTGCAGGCTCCGGCCACCCGTCTCCCCTGCCTCAGGCCAAGCCTGGCAGCTCAGTGGCCCGGAATGCTGTCAGGCACTGACAGGTGAGGAAGGGGGGACAGGTGCCTAGCTGCCCACAGTGGGAAAGTTAAAGAGCCGATCGAACCCAAGCCACAAGGCCACTGCAACCCCTAGCAGCAGACAGATGCTGCCTGAGCAGAAGGCAGACTCTGTGCCAAGAACATGAGGAGAGTAGTAGCAGGTCAGACTCCAGGCAGGGGATACCTGATTCAGGGTTCTCCCAGAGGGCAGAGATCTTGGCCACATAAGGTGTGGATGTCTTTCGGGGGCCTGACTTGAGGAGGACAGTGTCCCGGACCCGGATGGTCTCTCCGTGCCGCTCCACTGCCTGGTAACTCTTTCGGATGGCTGGTTCTGGTTCATCCTAAGCAACAAATCGATGACACAAATAGGCCCGGGGAGGGGCCGCGGTTAGAGTGAGGAGTGGGAAGGGAAGGAGCACAAGACATTCTCTTTGTGCTTTCCTCAGGGCAGTCAAACCACTGAGGTGGGAAACCATAAAAGGAGTTTACACAGTGGCCTCTTCTCCCTAAGCCTGGCTTTCAGGAGCAGGATAGGAATAGGGTATCCCCACAGCTGGAGAAAGACTGAAAAATAGGAACAGGGCTGGGAAAGTGGCCAAAAGCTTCTGGGGCTGTGCTATGACCACCACGCCCCAACAGCCGGCTCTCTTGCTCCAAGCCCACAACCCTGACAAAGTCCTCAAACTTCTTATTGGGGCAGTCTGGGTTTGACCCATAAGCCCTTAAGTGGGGTAGCCCTGGGCAAATTAATCTGCTGCTATGCCTCCGTTTCCTCATCTGTGAGATAGGGATAATTACAGGAATACGGGATATGTATCTCCCAGGGTAGTAGGGTGGAATAATGCATTATTTGTTCTCTGCTCCCACCCAGGAAGTGCTCCATGAAGTTTAGTCAAGCGTTTTCGTCATCTGTCATACCCCGAGCTCCCACATCACTCATTTTCTCTGCCTATCCCAGTGATCCCTATGCACACTTAGCCAGGAAACCTCCGTGAGGTCCTCCATTTTAGAATTCAAGAAAAAAGGGACAGCATGATCGAGGACGAGCTGTGCAGACACTTCAGAGGGCTGAGAGTCGGCGACAGAGATGGAGGCCACCAGCTCTGACCGACTGTGCATCCCCTGACCTCCCCAAGGCACACAGTACAGGATCAGTGCGGCTGGGGGAGGAGGCTGGGCCAGCATGATTGGCTCCCACGGTACAAGCCTGGGAAGCAGGCTACAGCCCAGGGTTCCTGGAACCCACCTTAGAGCAGGCCTGTCCCCACTGGCACCTGCCTCCTCCCCATCGGCTAACAGGTGGCACTCACCAGGACATAGACAGCTTTCTCACAGGCAGCCCCGACGGGCACCCAGCCGTTAGTGCGGCGGCGGCGGCGGCGGCGCGGGCGCGGGCGCTGGACGCGCGGCTGCTTGGGGTGGCTGGGTCTGCAGGTGGCCTTGCTTCTTGCGGTGTGCCTACAGCTGGAGCCCGTGCGCAGACCAGACTTGGAGCCGCTCGGCGGCTTGGCGCTCTGCGGGCACGCACGGGCTACCGTCTGTGGCTCTGAGGTGGGCGTCTGAAGATGGGGGACGGGCTCAGCTGCAGGTGGCACACTGGGCACAGGGCATCCCAGGAGGGGGTGGGCAGGTGAGGCAGGGTGGCCGGCTTCCGGGAGCGGAAATTCCAACTGGCCTAGGGACCTGCAGCCTTCTGGGGAAAAGAAGAGAGGCGGTGAGGATAGGGAAGGACAAGCAGTACCAATCCCTCTGGCCCCCCTGCTTTCAGAGCCTGCTCCTGTCTTAATACGGAGTGTGAACCCAAGGGTCACTGAGATGCAAGTGGAATCAGGGGCCTTTGAGGCAGACTGTCAGAGTGACTGGCCAAGGGTGCCTCTTGACCCTGGAGACTGGCCCATAGCCATCTCCATCTCCCCTTCTAGCCTTAAAGAAGGGGAGGTGATGGGAACAGAGTCTAGCTCGGACTTCTCCTCCTCTAGGGCTTCCACAGTGCTTAGGAGCAGGGGAGCAGGAGTCAGCCCAGGATATCAATCCCAGACCTGCCACTCACCGACTGTGTGACTGCAGGCAAGTCACGCTACCTCTCAGTGCCTTGCAATAGAAGTAGGAGTGGCAAGTATCACAGAGAGTGTCCCAGGCGTTTTTTCTTATCAATGTATTAACTCATCTCATCCTTACATCAACCCTAGGAGGTAAGTACCACTGCCACCACTCTAAATTAAGGAAACCGAGACACAGCAGTTACTGGCTTGTCCCCTGGTCACGTGTCTAAGGAAGTGGGGGAGAACATTTCATTCTAGGCAGCCTGGCTCCAGAATCTGTACTCAATTACATGCCACGTGGCCTCCCATACGTAAAGCGCTTGGAACAATACCTGGCACGTGGTGCTTACTGGTGTTCCAGGGCAAGGGGGGTAGAGTCTTGGGTCCCATGGTTTAGGTGTCTAGATTTGGGAGAGTGGCACAAAGAAGAAGGAAAGGCCCTAGAAGCAGCCTGATCTCATTTCTTAGTACTCCAGCTCACACCAAAACCTGAAACAACCAGTTGGACCAGAGTCAACTGGTCTATAAAGTTGTTTTATAGACCCCTACAAGACAGGGTGTGGGGTAGTAGCAGCAAGAGCCCTGGTAAGGCCTGGCCTCTCACTTCATCAGCAGCAGGGTAGACTTGCTAGACAGGATGGCTCTGGTCATCTCATTTCTACCCAGGAGCCAGGGACAGAGCCTGGAGAAGCATGTGAGGACACGCCTGCCAGTCTAGGGGAAGAGCGATCACTGAGGGGGTGTCTCATTGGCTGCAGCGCAAGCCTCCCTGGTGTCTGGGCCTTGCAAGGAAGGCAGACCCCAAAGCCACAGACCCTGTCAGCACCCTGTCTGTGCCAACTCTGCTGGATGGTTCTGGGGTATGCCCCTTCCGTTAGCCCCCAGCAAGGTGATGCTAAATCTGGGTACTACCTCTCTCTCAGGGCTTGTACAGCCAGGGCAGAGCAGGCCTACCGCAGCTGTCCCCACCTGGTACCCACCCCCCTTCCCATGAATGCTGAACTAGGCCAGCACGCAGATGGAATGGGCTCCTGGGAAGCTGAATTCTAGCTCTCCTCGAGGAAGGGATGGCCCTCCCTGCCCCCTCCGCCACCACAGTGCTACCTAACTACCAGGCCGAGAGATCTCCATTCGCAGTGGAGCCAGAGCAAAGAGCTAGACACAGGCCCCTTGTCTGGGAATGCTCCTTGGCTTGGGGCATGAAACCAGGGGAGTCCTCCCTTCTCAAAGCCCCCTACCACCCATGTTATAGCTAGACCTCAAGGAACCCCACCTCAATCCATGCCCCACCCTCCTAGGACACCATGTGACTCCCTGGGACATCCCATACCTAAGAAGACTTACCTGCTGCAAAAGGCATTTTGTAGGGGCAGCCGCCACAGGTAGTGCCGATGTGGGTAAGAGTCGGGGGAAGCATTTCACAGATGCTATAGCCATTCACTCCAGGGTCCTCACTAAAGCAGTAGCGAGAGCCCCAGGGGGGGTGTTGGAAAGGGGTGCCCGCAGGCACTGAGCTCGGTGCCAAGAGGAGCCCCTCGTTAGGGGACAACTTGCCCTCAGGAAGCATGGGGCAGGGGGAGTAGCCTCCACATTGCAGCCCGTCTTGGCCGCAGTATAGGTAGAAGCTGCCTAGTGCAGGGAGCTCAGGCCGACCACAAAGGCCACTGTAGTGGGCAGGGTTGCCAGGCATCGGCAGGGGGGACAGCTGGGGTGCAGGGAAAGAAGGCTGGTGCAGTTCCTGCTTGGGGGCAGGTGACTCCTCGCCTGGGCGCCCAGGCTCTGGCTTCAAGGCTGCCTGCCCACCCATCAGGAGGGGCAGGTGGGGGCGTAGCCCCGAGGGGCTCTCCAGAGCCTTGCTCAGGGGCTGGTAAGGTGGCTGGCTGCCTGGCCCACGAGGGGTGGCAGATGGCCACGGCTCCTCGGGGCGCTTTTGCCAGCCGGGTGGAGCTACAGCCTCCCCAGACCCAAGCCCCTGCCGGGCCTTGGGATAGTTCTTGCCATTGACCTTAGCCCACTTTGGCCTTGGAGCCCTCAGCACTGGTGGCTCTGAGGGGCGCCCATCTGCTTCTGGGTGGGCACGAGGTGGCCTCAAGGGCAGCTCCCGCTCCTGGCTCAGCTTCAGGAAGGCAGCTGCATTCAGGCTGGCCAGTCTCTTGGGAGCTGGGTCACCATCTCGACGGGCACCCTCCTCAGGTGCTGGCTCTGGGGACAGGTCCCGACCTCCTCCTCCGAGGTCCTCTAGCCGGGGCCGCTTCTTGGAGGAGGACCAGCCCCCACCAGCCCGGTCACGGTCCCGACTGCGGTGAGGGTCGCCCCCTCGACTGCGACGAGTGCCGGCCAAGCTGCTGGCGTCCTCCCGCTCCAGCAGCAGATTATTGAGGGCCTCTGCATTGAGGGAGGCCAGGCGCCTCTTGCGGGGCTGGGCAAGCCCAGTGTCCTCACTGGATGGGGCTGGGCTGGGGGGCTTGGGCAGGTCAGGGGGCAGCTCATCGGCCTCATCTGCACTCCGTGGACCAGCCACATTCTCCAGGCGGGTCAGCAGCACTTTGCAGGCCTTGGGCTTCTCAGGAACTAATGGGCGCTTACGTAGCGGGTAGTTCTTGCGGCGCCCTGTGAGGTGCCCTGGGCTCTCAGGCATGCCTGCTTCCACACTCTCCACCCCCTGCTCCATATTGCTGCCTTCCATCTGCAGGGGCTCCCGACGGCCAGTGGGGCCTGAACTCAGCATGGGAAGGGACTTCCTCCGCGTGTGTGTCATGGGGTACTTTCAATCTGCAGGGCAGAAGGCAGGCAATGAGAGAAGCCCACCCTGCCCTGCCCTGCACACTCTCGCCTCTGCTGCAGCCCAACCAATGCCACCCCCACCCTTCAGTAACTCTGGCCTATCCTCATCCCATCTACAGCCTGCATTTTCCCAAGACCCCTCTTCCAGAGTGCAAAGGTCCAGTGGGGTCAGGCTACCAACAGCTGGGCAAGGGCTGGCTGCCCACTCTTCCCTTAACCTAGGGTCCTTCTTTGAACTAAGCCCCTATGGAAGGATGGAGACCCCTGGGAGGAGAAGACAGAAAGTGCCAGGGGGGCAAAGTTCTAGGTTCTCTCTACTTGTTCTCCCACTAGATACTCATCGCAGGTCAAGAAGAGGCTCTGAAGACACCAAGCCAGGATGGAGGCTTGGATGGTGGGAGCCCATCTGTCCCTTTAAACACATCACCAACCCCTCCCTCCCCATCCTGGGGCTTCTGAGATTGGCCACAGGAGGATAAGGACATGGACAGTGAGGAGCTATGGTGAGGAAGCTGCCTGCCGGACTGTGGAGCAAGCAAAGCCCAGCTTGTGGGGACACCTGCCGGGCACATATAGCAGGATAGCCGCCATAACCTGGGTTTTGCTGGAAAAGTCCAGCAAAGGCAAAAGGTCTTGAGGAGTCCATGGTCAAGGGGGTCTCAGCCAGCCTTAGGAGCCAGACCCACCTCAGTTCAGATTCTAGGGAAGGGTAGCCCAAACAGCACCTGTGCCCAGAGAAGGAATGTCTGTAAGGTGAGGGCCAGCATCCCTGGGTGGGAAACTCCCGGAACACAAACGAGGCTTGTGGTATGGCTTTAAACCCTCACCAGCCACCAAGAGGGAAATAAAGTATCAAAGGAAAGAGCTAACTCCGGAGATAAACCCGGCTGCCTTGCTAGTCCTGCCCTATTTATCAGGTCTCCTTCCTGATAGGCAAGAAGCTGGGCAAAGAAAAGGACTGGGGATGGTGTGGGGTGGAGTGGGAGTAGTGGCAGGAAGCCCAAAGCCCCAGACAGAAGATGCCCACTTGACCAGGCATCATCCCCTAACTTTACTTGGCAAATACGCCCCCTGCCCCCAACATACCTGGGGCAGCCTGGGTCCCCTCCTGAATGAGAGGCCAGGGCTGGGCTGTATCCTGGAAGCTGGCATGGCCAAGGCAATGGAGAACTGGCAGGGTGGGGTTGGGGGGGGGGGTCAGTGTCAGTGGTCAGACACTATTGAGCTTTCACTTCCTACCTACTCCCCAGAGCAAAGCAAGGTGCTGCCAAATAAGGTGTCAGACAAGGCTCTGCCCTCCCTGGCACCCTGCAACCCCCTCCCCACCCAGCAAGCCCAGCTTTCCAGCTGAATTTCCCCACTGCTATTGTTATTCATACTCTCTCTCCCTAGAAGCTGGGAGCAATCCCTGCTGGGCCAGGATTTAACCCTGAAAGTCCCACGCCTGACAGTTCCCAGGAATTCCTGAGCCCTTCCTTCCGGCCAGCTCCTGTGGCCTTGGGCGAGCGGCTGGGGACACTGGGTACCTTTTCTCCTGACACATACTGCACTAGTTGACAAAGAGTGCTCAGAAAATGAGGCTGAGGGCACTGTGGGTGTCCCTCACCCTCAAGAAAGGACTTGGAAAACTGGAAAAGGGAGGCACAGTGCCAGGCATTGCTCTGGCCACGTGCGGGGACCTGCCACTGCCCAGAGACCAGACTGGGACAAGGCAGAGGCACAGAAGACAAATCCACTCCTTCCTGAAGCATAGACAGGAGAGCTCCTAAAAATATCCCAAGCATCGGCTAGGTTCCCTAAGACTTTTTCCTGCTTCTAATCAGGGGGACCACCCACCCCTGTTTGCTCGGCAGGCTTAATAGCAATGCCTCTTTTCACTCTCAAAAGCATCCTGGTTACTTACGATCCACAGGCCCTTTCCTTAAACGCAGGGCACCCCTGTGGCTGGAAGAGGGGCAGCAACAAGAAGCACGTCTGTATTTCCTAGGAAAGCCTGGGCCCAGCCCTTCCCTACCCCCAAAGGGCCCGGAGACAGGATTTGTGAACAGACCGCACAGCTGAGCAAGAACCGAAGCCCCTCAACAGGCCCCAAGTTACCAGAGGAGTCAGGCCTAGGAATGGCTGGGGGCCAAGGCTGAGGTCACCTGGGCTTGTGGCCTTTAAGGACATGGACACCAAGTACAGAGCAAGTACAGGGCTGGATGAAAATGAGAGGGCACTCAGGGAGCTGCTTTCAAGCCTGGCAAACAAAAGAGCTCCTAGCTGAGGGTGACTGGCCTGTCCCTACTCCCCCCACCCCAGTTTGGTGGTGGACCAGTTTTAAGAGTGGACTCTGGGATACTTGCCCCAGCCTCAGTCTTCCCCTCTTAACATGCAAAAGGTCCCAGCAGGGAGAGACTGGGAGGGGAGCCTGGCCCCAGAACTAGGGGGTGAGCTCCACTGTCCCCGGATCCCAGAAAGCCTCTAAATCACAGGGTGCAAGTCACATTTCCAAATCAAACATAAGAGCCTCCTACTAGCCTTCCCTTGAATCCACCACGTTCCTTCATCACCTGCAAAAGGATTTGCAGCTTGTACGTGGTGCCTAAGGCATCAGTGTCACTCACCGTCAGGGGAGAGGCTGGGGTCTCTGCGGCCTGCCTCACTGCACTCCAGTCTGAGGAGAGTGAGAATGAGTCACGCTTTGAAGCCAGATTTGTGAGAACTTCAGCTGCAGCTTTTCTCTGGGGTGGGGCTGGGTGGAGGGGGCTCCCAGCCTGCCAGCCCCTCTAACCTGCAGAGGTAGCCCAGCTCAATGGGGGAAGAAAATCCTGGGGAAAGCAGGAGGCGTGGTCCCCATTCCAGCTCTGCCAATGCTCCCGCTGTCCTGTCCTCACACACTAGCTCAACCAGAAATCACCTACCACTGCCAAGAGACAGGGTGCCTGGGTTCTCTCGACACCACCCTTCTCTCTGGGAAGCCCTGTCTTCCCAGGCATACCTGGTCCGGGCTCCCTCGAGAGAAGGTTCCTAGGAGGGACTCCCCAGGGCACATTACTGCTCACCTGGACTGTCAAGCTTGCTCGCACTGAAGAAAACCAGTCTGATTGTCCCCAGCCTGATCAGCCAACAGCTAGCTGCCAAGGACAGTGGGTGCCCGGTGTCCTCCCTACCAAAGATCCAGCAAACCACAGGTTGAGTCTAAAATCACAAGTCTACTCTAAAGACAGCAAACAGGCCATCACAGCCCCAGGCACCTTGGGTCACAAAACTGAGCTGGAGTGTCCATATCCCGTACCCCATGTCTGCTCAGGACTAGAAGTCATCTCTCCAGAAGTAAAAAGGGAAGGAAGATTTGACTTTTGCCCACAAGCTGCGGCAGCATCGTGCACCGCCTTCCACTCTGATAGGCAGAGCCCACCCAAAGTGTCATGTGCAAGGGAGGGTCAGAGGCCTAGAGGAATGTGGGCTGTGGGTACCGTCAAAGGAAAAACCAGTGTGTCAAGTCCAGATCACTTCTGCAAGTGGAAGCTGCCCTTGGACAGGAAGGGGTTCTCAAGCTTTGGCCACAGCTCTCCCCTCACCCTTATTTACCCAGATCTAGAGTATACACCCACTACCATTCTTAGGGGTTCAGGACCCAGGACTCTGCCCCACTACCCTTCCTGAAATGTTTCTTGCCCAGTGCATTTTAAATTCTGCTTTTCAGGCTTTTTGGTTTATTTTTCATAGAAGGAAAAGATGAGGGGGAGGGGGGCCCTAGGCAAAGGCAGACCAGTTGGTCACCTGGGTGAGGGTCAGGAAGGTCCCTGACCCAAGCCACCTCCCACCTCCAATTACACCTAAAACCACAGGGTTGGCACTGAATTAAGCACTTCCTTCCTTTGCGCTCTCTCCTGGAATAACTTCCCCACGCCCCCAAAGGAATAACAGTTTTTCATGAGCACTGAGTTTCCTGAATCTTCTATCAGAGAAGAAACACTGCAAGAGGACAAAGCCAAGCTCCTGTTCAGTGAAATTTAGTTGGTGTCACTTCATGGAAAACAAACGGATGAAGTTACTGACACTCTTAGGATGAAGCCAGGTTAAGTCGTGGCTGGGATCTCTCGAATCCCCCATAGCTGGTAAACTGAAAAGAACCAAACCTTCAAGTGAGGTGGAACTCGACTTGAATGCCAGCTCTCCCCCTGAACTTACTTAACTTCTCTGAACTTATTTAACTTCTCTGAACTTCATTCCTCATCTAAAATAGGTAAATCACAAGGAATTTTAGGAACGGTGGTGAGGATGACACTAGTCTCTGTGCAGAAGCCTAGTCGGGTAGGAAGCAGGCAGACCACTTCTCCCCCACCTTCCAGACCCATAGACAGAGGAAGGCAGTGTGTTCCTGGCTTTGGGGGGGGGTCCCCACATCAGGAGCCCAGAGCTGTTGGGTCTGAGAGAGATCTGAAAACCCAGCCTACACCTGAACTCTGCTCCGCTTCTACACTGACACCCAAGTGTCAACCCCAGGGAAAGATGGAGACACTGTGGTGGGACTTGTGTGTGGGGGGGGAAGGGGGTCCATTTACAACATAGAGGGAGGATGGAGCAGAAATTGTATCCCAATGCACCTTAAACAACAGTTCCATGCCTCTGAGAAACACTCAACTGGATGGCAGAAAGCCCAGGGATGGGGTCAAGGGGTGCGCGTTTGCCGGCTCCCGTGGTCTGACTGTTGCTTCAGCATGGGCAACCACAGACAGCAGAAGTGTCCAAGCCCCTGGGGCACAGCTCTGCAAGAGGAAGCAGTGGCCTCGGCCACCACCGGCGCCACCTCTCCTGTGCCTGTTTAGCCTCACCTGCTCTGGGCACACAATTCGCTCTGTAATCAAGCTGGGATCCTACGATCCTGGGCAGGAAACACCTACCCCACCAGAGGGAACTGGCCTGACCTGTCTGGACACAGCTTGTTTTACAGGCTGCCTTCAGGTCTAGTGACCGGACCACCTGCTCCTCACACTTCACACTGGAGGCTCCCAAGATCCTGGAGAAGTGGGAGCAGCTGTGCAGCGAAGGTTCGCATCCATCACACACTGGGTCTGGCATCCCAGCCACCCTAGCCTAGCATCCAGGCCCCATCTTTGGGGACTTCTGTCTACTCTGACCATCCCAGCAGGAGGGCCCAGGCATACAGGCCCAGAGTGGCACCCATGTGTCCAGAACCCCCACTTACTTCTGGCTCCAGATGTGAAGCCGGACACCAGCCTCTTGTAACTGTAAAGGAACAGAAACAGTGGGGAGGGATGGGAGTTTTGGCTCAAACTGTAAGGTAGTCTCTCCAATTTCATATGAGAATTATAGTTAAGTACACGAATATGGTTAACAGCAGAGCTGGTGGAATCTCCTCAGTAGAAAATGCCAGTGTCCTCGTTGCGGGGCAAGGCCCTTCATGTCGTGGAGGCTGAGAGTGAGAGAGACAGTGTACCCCTAGGGTCTAGAAGTCAACATACACACATGGACCACTGCACTAGGACAGTGGCCAAGAGCAGTATATTTCAGTCACACCATGGTGCTCTGCTTTAAGGAATTCTAACCTGACAAATGAGAAGGGAATCACATGCAACACAAAACTGGTCTTTAGAGGGTTTCCTTAAAAGGCACATGTACCTACTTTAGGTGATCTGCCTTCCCCAGCTTCTTCCCAGTGCACACTCTGTGTGCACGAAGTAGACACGTAGCTGCAGGTGCCGGTCCCGCTAAACCAGAGCACCTGCTACTCAATCCCAGGCACATGGCATCTCTTGTCACCTTTGCTCATTCTGCCATCATTTGCTGACCTCTCATCATGGCTCAACATGGCAGAGTGAGACCTGCCGGAGCTAGAAGCCACTTCATACTGTTGCTAATCCTAAGTGGGCTCGGTCCACAGCCTGAACTCTGAGCCTTGGTTTCCCTGTCTACACAGCAAAGCTGGTATGAGGATCAAGATGAATGAGAATGCATGTCAAGTGCTTAGCAGAATACCTGGTATCAGACAGGTACTCAACACAAGCTTGTTCTTTTTCCCTGCACGTCAAGTATTAGGCTAACTGCTGAGGAAAAATGTGAAAAAGACTAAGAAACCAGAGCTTGGGCTGGGAGGAAGAACGAGGACAAGAGTGTGACGAGGATCATAGTGCAGTGCTCAGAGCTTGAGGTGGAGAGCTCTGGCTCCACACCAAGTTCACAGAGTGAAGTCTGAGCCAGACCCTCATTTAGAGACGCTTGCCGAGGGTTTGCTTCACGCCAGGTGTACTGAGGGAAAAACAGCCTGCGAAATTTGCTTCAGAAACGGCTGGATGTAAGGAGAGACAGACAAAAGCTGAAGTCTTGCGGCAGGAGACCTAACTGTTCCCAGACTCACTCTTATTAGCTCCATTGTAGGAATACTCCTGCTGGGGGACCAGACAGTGCAGGGCTTAGGCTCCCTTCCACCCACCCACCCAGACTCCACAGTGCGCAGGCTGGGCCATTCGCTCTGGGCAGTTAAAAGTGTGGGAGAAATAAAACAGAGAGATACAGGGCACCCCAAACCTCAGCAACAGGTCCTCAGCAAACCCAGGAGCAAATGTCACACTACGGACACACAATTCTTCAAAAAGCACAATATCTCACGAGCCTGCTCCGGGCACCTGCCCAGAAGGGCAAAGGATATGTGTTGGTTCAACCACCAGGACACTCCAGGAACCAACAACTTATATTTCTAAAGTGGCTTGCCAAGACTGGAGGTGCTATCTCTTGTCCTGAACAGAAAAACCTGGCTGGCTGGGCCAAGCTAGGAGCTCTGCCCTCAGCCTCCTCAGCAGAATGCTAACCTCCTGAATGAGCCAGCCACGAGGAGCAAGACCCAAGACCAGGCCTTCCCAACACTCCAGCAGCACAAGCAAAACCACAAGGCAAACCCTACTAGAGTTGCAGGCACCCAACGCAAAAATCTCAGACATAACTAATTAACTAAGTGATTAGTGCCACCCTCATTAGGATGCCAGCTCTACGGGGACAGGTGGGTTCTGCCTGCCTTACCACTAAATCTCACCCACAGGGCTTAATAAAAGCTTCTTGAATGAATAAAGACGTGGCTGCCCACCTGCTCCATGCCATTTAACATTTCTACCCTAGACTGATGGCATCACTTGGGAGCCCAGGACAGGAAACTCTGACCTCTAATTCTCCCCCATCCCCAGGAGTCAAATGTGCCTCTGCAGTGTCATCAACAGCTCAATAGGGCCACTTTAGGAAATCCCTCATATTTACATAGCACCAGGCTCTTTCCCTACTATCCTCTTCCTTCTCTCTCCCAACTAGCCCAGCTGTATCTCAGAATATATTCCACTCACTCCACTCCTTACCCTAAACCATTACGCAAGCAAAGGTGGCACACTCTAGTAGAGAGGCACACTTGTATCAAGACAAAAAATGTAACAGATATTAAGGTGAACTCAGCAGTGAAGAACCAGAGTTAGTATTACCAGTCCCTAAATCCCCTAAGTGTGCAGGGCAGGGAATTCTTGATTCACTGCAGAGGCTTCTAGTCTAACAGGATAGCTAATGTTTGTCAAGCACTCACTACGCGCCCAGCACCACCCTAAGCACATACCATTCACTCTCATTTGTTTTCACAACTGCCTCATGAGGTGGTTGTTATCATCTTGTCCCAACAAGGAGAAGACAGGTAGAGGAGGGTGAAAGAACTTGCCCACACTCCTGTGCTGTCAACAGTAGAGGCAGAGCATCTGGTGACAGTCCCCAAAGCCCATAGCCCCACTGCAACACAGGACAACTGTGGGCTCACAGATGTTAAATGTTGATTTAACATCAACTTGCACATTCAATTTTGTTTTTCTATGTTTTTTTAAATGATTGGTATTAGTGTCTTATTTATTTTTCCTAATTTTTCACCACAAAGGAACTAAAGATGTACTCCAATTAAATGGCATTGGCAGGCTGGCCGGAAAACATAATTTTACAAATTGTTTCTACAGCAAAGTCTGCTCAAAATCCCGAGTCAATTCTTATATGCACTTTGGAAAGAAATCCATTTTACATCCTAGAAAGGGGTGAGGGCTTCAAAGATATGTTGTCTTGATTTTACAATAAAACCAGAAATGAAGGCTATAGGCTTCCCTCACGCATCTCACCACATCACCTGAACCAGATGAAATCTTCCTCCAGTCTGAACTGCAATCAAGACTGCAATTTGGTCATCACAGTCCGAACAGCCATCAATGTTAATATTCAAAGATGTGTTAACTGCCCCTTGGCTACCTCCCCGTGGGCTAAGTAAATCTGAGTCCTTTCAATTTTCTCTGAAGATCATCTCTTAGAGTTGTTTCATCCATTTTATAATTCTTTTCTACCTTCTGTCCCATCTCTGTGAACCCCTCCAGGCACATGGCAGGAGACACTTCTTGATAAGGGCCTGCCGACTTTGACAACAGTAGGAATATGACTCCATCTTCCCTCCTGGCATATCTGTCAGGGTATCCTGGCATCCAACTGGACCCTAATATCTTTCCCATGATTTCTCTAAACCCTAATGTTTCACCTCTAAACCACCTGGCCAG